GTCTAAGGATTCACTAACAGCTCTCCCCCAAGAGATCTGCACAGGTTCAGTTTGAAGGCACAAAAATATTCCAGGCTACTGTCTGTCACAGCCTCCTCTCACAGCACTGGCTAAAAACTGGAAAATATGCAACAAAATAAACTCAGTTTTCTTTTTCCCCTTACCTTTGTATCCCTCTGAGGAAAAATCAGTGTATCAGTACAGTATTCCACCTCATCTGTGAGGAATACCCCCTACGACCACTGTGGATGCCTGAAACCATGGTAACATCAAACCCCATCTGCACTGTTCTTTCTATACATACACACCTGTGATAAAGGTTAACTTAAAAATTAGGCACAGTGAGATATTACCCGTAATAACAGTGTTAAATTTTTCATTCATACATGCAAATACCTGAGAAAGCCAACTTAGAGGAGGAAATGTTTATTTGGGTTCATAGGTTCTGAGGTTTCAGTCCATAGTCAATTGGCTCTGAGTAAGGAGGAAGCATCATGTCAGAGGGCCGTGCGGAGTGATCTCGTGACATCCAGGGAGCAGAGAGAGCAAAAATACCAGAAGAAAGGGCTGAGAACCAGACATGGCACCCAAGGACACGCCCCATTGATTCACCCTCCAACCAGGCCACACTTCCACTTCTATTTCCTGCCAGTAAGCCAACAAATCCTGATTTCATAAATGGATTAATCCATTTATGAAAGCTGGAGTCCAGATAATCTTATCACCTTCTGAAAGCCCAAACTCAGAACAAGTCTTTGAGGGGACATTCCATATCTAAGTCATAATAACAAATAACAATGCAAAAAGCAATTATAACAATATAACAAAAGCTATAGTAATGTGATCTCTCATAAAATATCTTACAGTACTGGACTCACACTTTCCCTCTTGTGCTGACCTAGGATGGCACCGAAAGGAAGCTCTTTGTGATTTCCCCGCATCATATCTCAATTGCCACTATCACTGAAGCACCCCAGAACCATTGCTAAACCAAACAAGAGCTTCTTGGACACAAGTACTGGGTCACTGTAACAGCCTACCTGATCATGGAGAAAAGACAAGAAAAAAGTAGCCCAATCCAGGAAGGCCAACACCATGGTAAAAGAGCTCTGGGAACAGATAAAAACAGAAAATTTCCTAAAACTGGGGAATAGATGTTTTCATATTGCAATAATCTGTAAGAATATGGGATGGTGAAAAAAATAGGCCAATACTAAGTTACATTATCAAGAACTGTCATAAAACAAGACTCTTCTTAAAACTTCCAAAGAGGAAAAAGAAAAAACCAAACATTTCAAACACAGAAGATGAAGAATCAATATGGATCACCCTTTGAAACAGGAGGATGGAAAATGAAAGACAGTGCCCTCCGAGTTGTAAGATAAAATTATTTACAATCTAGACGTCTATGTTCAATCAGAAAATCAGTTAAGGGGTGTTGAGAGAAAAGACATTACAGACCCATCTCAAAAATGTAACAGCACAGAAGAGAGACCAGGGCTCCAGCTTTGTACACAGAGGGAGCAGTCTACATCAAAATGAGGGGAAATCTCTAGAAAGGGTAGATTCTTTAAAAATGGAGCAGCATTAAGTGGAGACTCCACCTACGGCCTCTCCTCTAGAGGGTTCCAGCCTTCTGTTTTCTTAGACACAGAGTCACCGTCCTGCTTTGTAAAACCTGTTTGTTCCCAGCTCCTGGTTTAAGGAGGAAATATCCGGCAGAGCTCACAGAGACCACGCAGCCCTGCGGCAGGGCTGGTTTGGCAGTCTGTTAATTTTGTGCTTTTCCTGTGCCGCAGCTCATCGCTGAGAACCACTGCTTTGTGCTTTATAACAATCCGGCAGGAGGATGTCAGTTCCTTGCCCGTTTATTCTCTGAGAAGCAGTTATTTAGTAGGATAAGGGCTGATACTTCCCGGCAGCAGCTGGGAGAAACAGACCACAACCTCCTGCCTTCAGCGCATTTTTTCAGATTTCCACTTAACTCGTTCAAACGGACTCGATGGACACTTACCTCGTCTATTCTAAAGAATTCAAAATACCCACAACCTTTGGAATCCTTCTTTACAAGCGGAATGAATAAAATGGGAACACAATAAATTAATATTTCTGACAAAGATTGTCTCTGCTCAGTGTGTCACCCACTGCTGCTGCTTTATTTTTTTTAATTTACAAATCCATCGCCTCCCGTCCACACCAGACTTCACTTTCACACTGACGCCCTGTGTCACGCCTCTACTAAATCTCCAAAATCCTCTCAGTGTAGAACTCACTTACTTTTTGTCATCAACCCTAAAAGTGTACATTCACTCACGCTTCTCTGGAGATCGATGGCCACGCTAAGATTCTTTATACTTTCAATATCTCAGTGAAAAGATTCTGGTCCCAATTAACTTTCTGGATGCCTCCGTCCCTCACCAAGTTTCCAGGTTGTCACCTATTCAACTTAGAAGTCTTTGGCCTCAACTCGTGCTTGAAAATATCAGAAGGCACTGTTTCGTCCTGACCTTCAGCTTTACTTCCTTGCAACAATGGAAAAAAGGTAGTTGGGAAATAAAGATTTCTTTTAGCTAGCAGTGTGTCTGCAGTACATTCACATACAGGGAGAAATGTCACAAGTACAGAATAGCTTCCACACGGCAAAACCAGCATTAATCCTTCAAGAGAACTGCATTGTGAATGAAAACCTTGTTCACATCTCCTATAGGGTTTAGGCCCCCAAATGATGTTTTGAAAACTGAAAAACTTCTTTTTGTTATCTGTTTATATGGCCTCCAATGACCCGATTTATCCTCTACTGAAATGTTAACTCATATAGATAATCCAGTGCAAGAAATTTTTTAATTTCCAACTTCCTGCCTTAAGAAGCCCTTGAATTTTGGCCTACGGACAGACATTTAATCCAGTAATTCTACATATTTACTATGTTTCCATGTCCTTAACCCAAGCTGGTCTCAAACTCACAACAATCCTCCTGCCTTAGCCTCCCAAGTACTGGAATCACAGGCAAGCACCACCACACCCAGCTCTCACAGCCTTCTTGTATCAACTCACCATGCTGTATTTCTTGTGCATTTACTACATCAGACTACAAGAGCCTGGTGCCTAATTGTTCTTTGGTTCTCTCGCATTGCTTCTTTTCCTTAACTAAGACACTGAAGTCTGAAGAGCCTGGTGCGTGCCTTTGCGCTGTTGTCTGATATTCCCGTAGTTAACCAGAAGAAAGACTTGCTGCACAAACTACTCTCCGCTGCCTGCGACCAAGCCTTCCCGGCTCCACCCTGGAAACTCTGCCCTCCGTGAGGAGACTGAGGAGCTCTGACTCTGTTCGCTCTGAAGTCTTTTAGTTCCAAGTGGAGAAAAAAATTTCAAATTGGCTGAAGCAAAAAACCATGATGTTTGTTTAGATCAAAGTCCAAGCTGAGAAGCGACTTCTAGCATGGCTGTAGTCTATGTTCCAGTGATGTCACCTCTTTGCTTTGTCCTCTGGACTCAACTCCACTCCCAGGCTCCTGCCAGGGGTTCCGACCACTCTCTATTCCAATCACACATAGCCCCGTGCCAGAGGGACAGTCCAACACCACTTCAGGCCAGAGCCTTTGGCAGAATCGTCTTGGGTGAAACTGGCCAGGTTGGCAGGTGCTGGTGAAGGCTCAGCTGTGGAGCTTGGGGTGGATACAGCTCCAGCCCAAAGCTTTCAGGGAGAAGGGAGAAGAAAGCCATAAAATCATGGTGAGGGGCACAGGGGAAGGTGGGAAAAGCCAATTCGCTTATAGGATTGCATTCACTTTTATTTCATTTCATTTCATTTTATTTTTTGTACTGAGGATGAACCCACGGCCTTCACACTGAGCTATATCATCAGCCTTCTTTTTAACTACCTTTGAGACAGGATCTCACTAGGTTGCCCTGGTGGGACTCAAACATGCAACCTTCCTGCCTCAGCCTTCCAGGGTGCTGGGATTCCCAGCATGCACTCACTTTAGATCCTCAGGTGATTTGTTACTATTTTTCCTGGCAGTTATTTGACTGAAGAAACAGCAGTCCTCTATGCTTTTATATGATGCTGTTCTGATGTTCCCCAATGACAAACACATCCCACAGGGCTAGCAAGCAAAATCCTAAATGACAGACACGCTAAGCAGACATCCAGACTTCCCCTGCCGTACATGCGTCCTTCTCCCACTTGACATAACAAAAGCATGCAATTTTTCCATCATGTTTTCTGACATGGTGACCACTGTAATGCCATAGATAAATACCTTCCTCACATTTTTAAAGACTATTTTTTCATGCGTTGTCTCTAATTCTTAAGAGGGGTTCAAAACTGCTTCCTCAGTTAATAGTTGCTAACTCGTGACTTCAGTGAGGCTGTCCCTCCCTAACGTGGCACTAAAAGCCAGGAAAGGGCCTGACAAGCCCCGCGGTCTCCCCTTGTCCCCTTGTTCCGACACCTTTCTTAAGAGGCTCTGCTGCTTTTAGCACTTGCAAGCCAAGTGACCGTGTTCACCCGTGTGTCTGCCTTTGTGCTCTCAGGAACACTTGAGAAATGTGTCCAACGCCATTCCGTCATTTCCTTTCCTTCCCTTTAAATATTTTGATAGAAAAAGACTTTCCCAGAAATATATGTGGATGTGTTCGATCTTACAACTGCTTCTTTGCATCCTATGGGATATTTTTGAATAATGCTAAGGATTTTTGTTTTGTTTTGTTTTGTTTTGTTTTGCCTCTTGCCGATTTCTTCCCACATTTAATCTGTTTATAAAAGTGACTTTTTTTCTCACCCAAACTTCCATCAGATTTTGTTTTTTCTCTTTTCTGTAAGAGGCCTTCTTCAAACTATCTTCAAAGGACAGGAATAATGCTAATCGTTTTTAAATTATTGTTTTTGTCCATGTAAAAATTGAAGTAGTCATAAAATACAATAATCTTAAACTCGATACTATTTACATATGCACATACTGTGAATCCCAAATAGTATTTTAAAAGCGCTTGTTATTTTCACCTATTGATTTTAATTAAATTGACTTTAGGGTGTCTGAATTGCAAGGAAGATAGAAGGAGGAATAGATGAAGAAAAAATCACAAGCACACTTTTATCCCAGCTCTTGGGAGAAAACAAACTAATAAGCCTCCTCCACAGCGAATTTCTAGCCAGTCATTAACTGGGGATTTGTTGCCTTGGTTACTGAGCCAGGTAGAGATCCCAGTGTAAAAGCAATGTGACCCGTGAGCTCAGGAAACCCAAGAAAGGAAATTTCTGCACAACATCAGCCGTTCCTGCAGGAAGAAATGAAAAGAGTAAAAATGTAGGTTAAAATAAAGGGAGAGAAAAGGTTATCTTGATTTTTGACTCTCTGTCAGATATTTTCACATCCTTAATAATAGCATGTCAGTGCCTGTTTGCTCATGAAATGTTACAAGGCAGACCATTTCCAACGTAAGATATCGCCCTCTTAGAAAACAAAGCATTCTACACAACAGTGGTGAGTGGATATTCCACTGGCAGAGAATATTTCCGTGGCGACTCCTCCAAAACACATATGGTCAGAAAGCAAGATTACTGGATAGATTTTCCAGGCAAAGTATCACTGTGGCTTTTCAATGATAATGGATTGAAAATAAAAATCACATGCTCTATATCTAGAACCAAAGGCAAAAAACAAGAGGCAAGAACCTGCTCACCTCCCTGGTAAGCAGCCGTGGCTCAAGCAAAGGGCGGGTGACCCAGGGAGAGAACCAGCAGTGTCTCCCGAGATCTGCACCATGTTGGAACTTAGGGCACTGGGCAACCAAGCAACCTGCTCACCTCCCTGGTAAGCAGCCGTGAGCCTACCAGGGCTCGGGCTGAAAATCAAACATACATGCCCCCCACACACACTGCTAGCAAATGGGAGCCAGAAGTCTGAGCATCTCTTGGGAGGTTGACCATATGCAATAAAGCAGATGGGGGGATTTCCTTCTATCTTCTCTTTGAAGGCAAATATTACTATCACTGATTTGCTTTGTTCTGATTAATCATATTGCTCTATTCAATACTCTGTTTTGATAGGTTTTTTGATGTTCTGTATTTGGTTTGATTTTGCTATACCTGATTGAAAGAACAACTATTATGAAGATAACGAGATATACTATGGTACCTATTACTGTTATCCCGGTAACCTGCTGTGAAGTTCTGTACCAGTTTCACTGCTTTGTCTTGATTGGCTTTGTTCTGTCTTGTTCTGTTGTATACCTCCAAAATAAAAAATAAAACAAAAGGCAGAACCGGAAGGGATGACTTCGGGCATCGTCTTCTTCTTAGGCTGGAGCTGGTTTCATTGCTAAACTCAGGATCATCTGAAGACACTAACAGTCTGCCACTCACCTCGGTAATACAGACATTGCCGGATCGAGGACACTTCATTTATTTTTCTGCTCCTCTGGAGAACCCTGACTAATGAAGTATCCCAGTCCACCGCCCCAACACCTGCCTCTCCTGGGACAGCCAAGCCATTCCACTTTACACCAGATGATAAAACTGAAAGGCTGGCCCAGTCACCAACGCCTCATGGATTACAACCAAGCATCTATCGAGAGACTGAAGAACCTCCAGCCCTTCCACACTGCTTGACACAATCAGCAGGCCAGGGACTTCAGTCCATCAAAACTATCAGAGCCTCAAGCTCTGCACGGGAATAATCGTACCTACTCAGGAAGACAGACTGTCATCGAAGCAGTGAGAGAGGCTGGGGCAAGCTCAGTAGTAAAGTGCTTGCCAAGCATGCAAAAGACCCTGGATTCAATCCCCAGCACAGTAAACATAAGAAGGAAGGAGGAGGAGGAGAATAACATGTGCAAAGTTTCTGACTTAATAAAAATTGATCCTCCTTTCCCTTAATTCCCATCTGTACCACTCTGACCTCAGTTTTTTCTTGAGGTCACAGTTCCTGAAATGCTTAACCTTAGGACTCTTAAAATTAGGCACATTTTCTATTCAGCCAGGGACCGAACTCACGACCACACGCTCGCAAGGCAGGCGCTTATGCCGCAGAGCTAAATCCCCAGCCCCCTAAGTGCTGTTCTTTTCTTGACACACAATATTATCACTGGCTGTTTCTCTGGACCCTTCCCTCAATGCACATAAACAATCCTTGGGAATAAAGCTGGGAATGAAAGGTAAAAGGGTAGGCTCACTGTTTGGTTGAGGCATAAATTCCTAGAACATGCACAGTTTAATTCATGCTCAAACTTGAATGGAGCATGCTTGAGTTTACAGCCTCAGACACCAAGCATCTGTGATTGAGACAGAGTCTCAGTCACAGCGACCCTGATTTACAATCTTCTCCTACCTGGAGAACAGAGTTTCTCTTACCACCACTAATCCAATGCGGGAAATACTTAAAAGTCCTCTATTTGAGCTAAGTACTGGACTCAAAGTTAAAAGAGATGAATGTATTACAGATTCAGCAGAAGGTTCTGAGATTCGCTTTATTCCCAAACTGACTTTGCGTGGCTTCCTTTTATGGGAGAAATGGGCTTTCTGCCTTTATTTCCTGTGCAAAGTGCTTAGATATTTACGACTTGATATTTGCTTATCCTTCACGTTTCAGAGACTGCCAAATCCTAAGACATTTAAATACATTGTACAGATTGCCAGGTTCATTTTTTAATAAAGACTATGATCATGCTGATAATGATAACAAAATGACAAAATACCAAAAAGACACGCCTAGAATTTTTAACTACCTTCTTAGTTAAAACTTTCTTTTTCTTACTTTCTCCCTGATTCAAATTATGAATTATATTTAATATACAAGAGACTATTTTAAATATTAGCTGCTAAGAATCAAGACTGAATAATAATCATATTTGAAGAAGACTTTGCAGAACATTTCTATTCTGTGATTCCCCCTATTTTTATGGGGAAGTCTGTTCCTGGGACTTGGGCCTTTTGGGTTATGTTATGTCAGGTACTGGGAGAGGTAAACTGAAAGCAGCGACATAATTCCTGCTTTCCAGGGGTTTACAGTCTCCCGCAGGGGCGTGCACTAAGATTCCCTAGGGAGAAACAGCCTCAGAGGGGATGAGGCTCTGAGGATCTGTCTGAGGCAGTCGGTGCCAGGGGAGTCAGAGAGGGGGAAAGGCGGGAATGCAGCAGGAGAGGAAGGAGGCAGTGCCCTGGGCTGGCACCTGCTTCACAGGGTCTGAAGAAGCACAGCCTGTGCCTGGCAGAACTCTCACTCCACTGCTTATGGCCTCCACACAGGAGCCCACGGAAGCAGGGTCCGCAGGAAGACAGAGGGGACGTGCCTCTCCTGGTTTCCTCCTGCTCCCACTTTCCTCGCCCTGGTTGACACTGTCCATGGCCTCGCAGCATCGAGCTCCTGCAGGTCCAGGCTCGCGAGGGTCCCACGCAGAGCTGCCTGCCAGGCAGGAGCTGCAGCAGCCCCAGCTCCCGGCCTCTGAGTAGGGACCTTGGTGAGTCAGATGCAGACAGGAGGTGCCAAGCTCAGGCCAAAGCGTCAGGACAACCCCAGCCAGGAGCCTCTGCAGAAATGGAGCTGTGGCTGAAAAGGCAAAGCGATGAGAGTGTGCTTGTCATGGAAAGATGAGACCCACGTGGTGCACGCGACAAAGGGCACACTGCAGCCTGGTGGGCTGGAAGGATCTGCACGCTCCAATCTAGGCCATCAGCCTCCATGATCGAGTTGGGTCTGTTTCTCCCACAAAACAGCTGAGCTCATCCCAGGTCTGGACCATACAAAACCTGGACCGGAGGAACCCCCAGTGAGCAGAAGTGTTGGTCAGCTTCCAACGACAAAAGCCAGAGAGGACCTGTTACATTCCCAAGGCAGATGGTCATCGCCCTGCTCCATCTTGGCCTGTGACCTTGTGATTGTCCCCTGAGTAAAATCCCTTGGAACAGGAGACGGGCAAAGTCAAATGCAGAGTAATCAGTCATCTGACCAGGCTCGATGGCTTTATTTTCTATGATTTTATGTAAATAGCAGCTTTTAAAACCCAGGTGCCCCACGAGGCTTCCCATGGGAATTCTATTAAGAAAGTCACTGCCTTACACTCTGTGCACTAAGGTTTAAATAGCAAGGTCAGTGTTATTAATTCAGTGTGAGCAGTTTCATTCTGAAAACCTGTCACTCTTCCGCATGGAAAACATACCAGGTCTAAGTTTCTAATTCTTCCCCGCCACTCATACCACACTTACTTGGCACTGATGTGCTGCTCTAGACATTAGAACGGTTCCAACCACTGTTTCCAGCCACCGTTTGGTTAAGGAGACAACTAATCAGCCCCAGGAAGGAAGTTACTGAAGAGATTCATCCAGGCCAGTATGCACCACTGCAGCAGCATTAATGATATAATCACAGAAGGAAAAGGGAGCCAAACAGACCACTCTGCTTACCGTTCAAGAAGAGAGAAATCAGTGAAGACTCATAGCAGAGGTATTAAGGGAGCTACCGCCGTAAGGACTGAAGATGTACAAAACCCAAAGGGGAAGAACAGTGCAGTTCCGGGCAAAGAAGGTGAGCAAAGAGACCAGGTAGGAAGGAAGGCCGCAGGTTCTAAGGATGACGGGAAAATATAAGAAGCAGCCCAGCAGGGCAGAGAGTGCTGGGGCAGGGCTGGGGAACACAGGAAATAAAACAAGTAGGAAGGGGGGCAGATGTGAAAATCCACCCCAGGACGGCAGATCCGCAGTAAGTCCAACCCTCTGACTCTCAGGCTAAACTTTGTTCAACCTGGCAACCTTCCAGAAGCACAAAGGTGAAATACACGCTGCCAACGGGGCAAGTGCTAGCCCTGAACTGGGGCCTGAGAGTGGCAAAGGTCTGAATAATCTCAGTGAGACTGCAGGAATCACAAGACAGAGCGTGCAGCCCAGGACACCGAGGACACTCAGAAGCATTGATTTGAGCCAGCTATCTCCACTTTCCTCTCAAACACACACACACACACACACACACGCACGCACACACACACACACACACACACACACACACACACACACACACACATGAACGCATGCATGCAAGCAAGCTTTTTGAGGGAAAACATTTGCTAAAATGCAAAACGTTCCCTTCTTATGTCATGTGATAAATTCCGTCTGTCAAATCTTCATCCTATTTCTGTGACTTTTATTAACAAAACACCCAAACAAAGTCTCTGTGACCTCAATGTGAACTTTTTTTGTTTTCTTAGGATTGTTTCCTTCTTCTTGTGTGATGTTCTCTCAGTTGCTAGACGCTAAGGAGAGATTTTAATTCTACATGTTGGGGATGTGAATATGATCCAGGCCAATGATAAACAGGTGGTAAATCTAATGGCTAAAGTTCTGGAAAATCCTTAGTAAAATATTTGTGTGATTAATGTCAAAACTATAATCATGAAAAAACTTGGGGTATAATTACTGCCTTTCAGACATCAGCTGGCCTGATACATCAATCTTCTGCTGAACTTGAGAGATGTTGATGGCTGGGCTTTGGCCAGGATGGCTCCTGACCTGATGACCACTGACAACAGAACCCTAAGGTGCAAGTCCATAGCAAAGCAAGAATCGCCGTTGGTTTTAAACAGACCCTTGGGTGCTGAGGCGGCCTCTCGGATCACCTACCGTCAAAGACGGAAGCCATCAGCTCTCCACTGATCAGCACTGACCCCTGAGCCCTGCGCACAGTTCCTTTAAGAGCCGATTCACCTGACCATTTGTCTTCTTGGAAAAGGTCATTTGCCTTTTGGTGATAAACATATGTGAGTAGAAATCAAGCCAGATCTGAGATATTGTCACTGGACTTTAAAATTGAACTCAAACATGCGTTCTTTCATTCAAAGTTCTATTGGGCTTCTTAGGACTGTTTGCTATTTGGGGACCTTTTGGGGTTTTTTAAAATTTTATTTTAAAGAGAGTAAAATCAAGCAAAATAAAACAGAATAAAGCCAAACAAAACAAGACAGTATAAAATGACTTAAGATTTCAAAACAAGAGAATAGGAAATCAACAATAGCTACCATAGTGCCTCTTGCTTTCTTCAAAACAGCTTCCTATACCTTATATACAGTAAAATCAAACAAAAACAGAAAACAGAATAGAGCCAATAAAAACAAAACAATGAATGCAGTACTGGGCTTCAAAACAAAATAATAGTAAATCTAAAATGGCTACCATAATGTCTTATTATCGCATGGGCATAGGCATAGCTGCCCATGCCATAAGAGATATAAAATCAAACAAGACAAAACAATAAAACTCAACAAAAAAAAACAATGAGAATGATACAGGATTTCAAAACAAGGTAATAGGGAATTAATAATCTCTACCACCTTCAGAAGGAGAGCCCTCATAGATGCTAAATTTAATAGATGATTAGACTATCCGCTTAAGGCCTGCAAAGTCAGTGAAACCCTAAACACCACAAGCGAGAAGCTATATTTTATCTCATTAACTATCATCACAGCCCGTGTTTCTCTGGATCAGCTGGTCGCTTACTGGGAGGAGGGGGAAACACTGGCTCTTCTGATCTCTCTACCCATGTGCCAGAAGGGGCTGGCATCTGGCTCTCCCCAGTCAGCCCATGGATGGCGCTGACTCACAGGAGAGTTTGGGTTCTTGTTAACTTGTTCTCCTCCCCCACAGTCCTGTTTGCTATTTTTTGAATGACAATATCATTTCAATTAAATAAGTGTTGTTTCAGCTACTATGCACCAAGCAGTGAGCTGAAAATGGGAAACCCAGAGATTATTAAAGTACAAAATACAGTCTCTTCCCTCAAGAAACTTGGAATCTATCGGAGGAAACAAATAAATAAAATGTGATCCAGTGATTTGCACTAGATTCAATGAGAGATCAGCGGAGAACGCCACCAGCCAGCCGGGGGAAGGCCTGAGACAAGTCGGGGAGCAGAGTGACGATTGATCTAAGCATGAATTCTAGGAAGGAAATGAAGGCCAAAGATACTCCAGAGGGAAGAGTGTAAACCAAGTGAAGGAGGCTGTCTTAGTTACTTTTCTCAATGCTGAGACAAAGCACCCATAAGTTAAGGGAAGACAGGTTTATCTAACTCAGTGTATAGAGGCTTCGGTCCATATCTGACTGGCTCCAAGGCAGGGCGGCATGGCAGACAGGAATCACAGAGGAGAAATAGTTCATGGAGGGCAGAGGCAGCAAAGCAACAAGCAAAGGAGAAGACAGGCAGAAAGAAGCCTCCTTCTGTCCCTTGCATTGTATCCAGCTATTGGGATTAGGGGGAGCCAAACCAATCAGTGGACTGATTTAATAACCACTCACCCTTATCCTAGCACTAACCCGAATCCTAGCACCCTTAATCCCAGCATTGCACAATGAATAAGTCACACACTCTAGATTCAGCCACCCCTGAAAAAGCCCCAGTAATACTGCATGAGGCTTCGGGGGAACATCTAGACACAGTCATAACAGAGGCCATAACCAGTGCATGTGTGTGTGCACGTTAAGGGACAGAGCCACATGCTGTCATTTATGCATGATGGGATGCAAGGAGGGCAGCCGATGAAGGCTCGTACGGTCAGGATGGACACTGAGCTTTATCCCACGGGTGATGAGGAGTCACTGATGATTTGCACGGATGAGTAACAAAGCTAGTTTATCTTACACACCAACCAGACAATGGTTATTTGGGTAAACGAACTAAGTGATCTTTTCAGTTAGGTCTTGATGAAGGAGGAAAGAGACACACAGAAAAGTCGGGCTCATGAGACCGAGTGCTGCATTATGTCCTTTCCTAAAGGACTGTTCACTTCCTTTCGTGTGTCTGTATGTGCGTGTGTGTGTGTGTGTGTGTGTGTGTGTGTGTGTGTGTGTGTGTCTGTATGCCTGTGTGTATCAGTCTGTACAGTAACAGTTCAAGAATGCTTCTGTTTGCAAACAATTTGGTTTGGCAACAGAAGCATTCGGTAAAATTTTGCCTCCATTTGCAAACTCCACATTGAATAACACACAAGACCATGCTCATCTCCCCCACATAAACACAAACACAATCATCATTCCCAAAATCGTAACACAAATTAAGTTCATAAACAGAGGTCCTGCTGTATTTTTTAGCTTCTATAGAACCAGTTTTAAGACTTGCAAGAATGTTCACATATAATTTTGTGGATTGTGTGGCAAAGATTATGTAAGTGTTGCTAACAATCCTCTACTCCAGACTTGGAGATTTTGGCAAAAAACACAAACAATTCTGACTTCAGCACCTCAGTGGCAGAGTCTGATTAATGCAAAATAATCCTATTAGGAGACCCTGGCGTGACCTGCTACACACTCTCTCCGTGGCATTGCCAGTGTTGTGCTCCGGTGATCCCGCTCTTAGCATCTGTAAGTGGAGGTGTTACACAGGCTGACCCGTCTCCTGCAGGGTGGTGTGTGACGCCTATCAGTAAGTGCAGAAAAACTCCAGAAAACTTAGAGCATGGTGTGAGGGCGCTAGCTGCACTGTACCAGACAAGCTCCCAACCTGGTGCCAAACCTGCTGAGCTGCTACGATGAACAGCAGCAGGCAGCACTGGGGATCAGCACTTCTGGCTGCTGTCTGGCTTTCATGCTTCCACAGAGAACATTAGAGCTAACCTTCAGTAAAACTCACCCACAGATGCACCCATTCTGCTATCACGGAACGTTCTAATTGGTCTGGAATAGCACATAAATCTTTGTTGTTACAGTCACATAACCACAGGGAGGGAAGAGACTCTAGCAATCATTTCTACATCTCCTGTCATAGCCCCATTGTGCAGGAGGGGAAATCAAGGCTCATGGACATAATGACCAGGGCCATACAACTCTTAGTGGCTTGAAGTGAGTCCAAGTACCAGGATTACTGGTCCATAGCCTTCTTAGCTATGGGTCTAAGACCCAATGCCTGGGTCTTCCCTACTTACTGCATCATTTTGAAAAGCTAACTGAAAGGGTAATGAATTAAGTTTTCATTCACTCAACAAATAGTTTTTTGTTTACCATGAGCCAGACATTTGCAAGGTATCAGTGAACTAAGAGTAAATAAAACATGAAAATGTCCTACCTTTAAGAAGCATAATTTCAAAAAAAAATAAAGGAGAAATAGCTAAGGAAAACTACATCAAGTAAGGAAAAAAGTATGAGGAAAGGAAATCAAATGTCTACATAGGGGAGCCATAGACTGTGACCCTTAAGAGAAGACCTGAAGGAAGTGAGAGAGTTAGCCAGACAAATAAGCATTCCCACAAAGGGAAGAGCACGTGCAAAGGTCCTGAGGTCTCAGCTCCTGGTGTCTTCAAGGAATAGCAAAGACGCCAGGGCAGCAGAGAGGAGTGAATGAGTGAGCTGCTGAAGTCAGAAGGGTTTGACATCTCCAGCTCATAGACAGTTTGTAGTCCACAGTGGGGACTGCAAGTGGGTCCATTGGGAAAGCTTGGGGAAGTAGCACGACTGAATTTGCATGTGACCAGGGTCACCGGGGCAATATGCTGAGGAAGACAAGAAGAACAGGAGGAGGGCGGCTGCTGTCGTGATGCAGGGGAGAGCTGACAGTGGCTTGGGCCGCACTGGCAGAGCTGAGGAACTCAGTGTAGGGTGCACAGAATTTGCTACTGACCAAGGTACAGGGTAGAAGAAAAGC